ATGAATGTAATAATGGGAACCTCCAAATCTAGGGTTTTGGTCCTTACCAATCAAAACAGAGCTACAGACACAAGGGGTGGAGGAACGGAGGCTCTGTTTCCATAATATACTGTTCTGGCGGCAACTTCCCAAAGTGTTGCAGTGGTGTGTAGGGGTGGGAGCATAAACGCTTGGGGATGCAGGATTCTTGCTGGATGTTGAACCCCCACCCTGGGACCTTCCAACATGGCATCTCCAGCCAGCCGTCCCCCAGCTGAGAAGAGTCCACAGTGGGCTGCTTGCCTTAAAGTGTCCCAGTGGCTTTGAAACTCTCTACCAGCTCCCGTCTATCCATGACAACACACAGCTCATAGTTACCAGAAAAACTTTTACTAGATTTAAAAAAATGAATTAACAAACAATCTAATATTTAAGCAATAGAAGAAGAAAGAACCTCATGGCTAAAACTCTTCCTAAGCAACAAGGTTTTTAACCATTTTTTATCACGGAACCTTGTTGCTGTGCTGATCTGAAAGACAGGCTCCAGTAATGTACATTGAAAGAGTCTAAATAAATCAAAGGTTAGTAAAAGCAAGCCTTAGATTTGCCTGCCACTCCTTCTTCTGGTCATGCTCACCAGAGGCTGATTGTTTTTGACCAAGCAAACAATTCTCATGGCTTCCTCATCTTCAGGCAGGTCTTTAGGCAATGGTGGCAGATCTGGCTCATAGTCTCTCAAACTTACTGTGTCATGAGCAGAAAGGAGAGCCTGAAAAACACATGCGGTTTCTGTTATTTCTATGGTTGACAACACATTCCACACAACTAATCGAATACTGGAAGTGGTCAACTTGAAAACCTTCTAATTAACAAAAATGCAAAGCAACAATGTCTACAATCATCTACTGGTCCATAAAGTCTGCCCCGAAACACTACAAAAATATCTGGCCTGAGACTGTAGAAAGGTTCTATCATGAAGAGGGTGATGGCCAAGAAACTATGCCCCTCCAAACACCATGCTGTTTAAAAAACATGTATTTATATCCTTAGAAACATTGCTCACCTGTAGGTGGGGATGACTAAGGAGGGCATATAGTTCTCGAGCTTCATTTGAGGGTTTTGGGACTGCCAGCAGGTAAGACAGAATCTAGAGTGCCAAAACATGAGTCAGGACTTATTAGGAATTGAAAATGTATTGATACAAAAATTGGAGTCAAGTCCAAGACCTCTAACAGACCCTCTAAGATAGGGGTGGGCAACTCTGCCCCTCGAGATTTATTGTCCTGCAGTTTAGCTCAATAACACCTGCCTCGAATTTTCTAATAATCCTGAAGACTTTGGTTAGATTATTAGAACAGTGGATCTCGAAGGCCAAAGTTGCCCACCCCTGCTCTAAGACCTAGGTCCAAACCAATACCAGACCCCCTACGGCCCAGACCAAGGGCAACAGTAAACCTCATGAGCCACAGATTCAGACCAAAACATAAACCCAACAGAGCAATAACATCATGTCAGTCGGGTAATAACATTATGTTCATGTGGTGTCAAGAGGTCTAAAGACCCAGTACAATCTGCAATGAAGTCCTCAGGCACACTAAATGATGAAGCTTTAGAGGTCATATTTTGGATATTTTGAACTCCATCAAGGAAGCGTGAACTGAAACTACAAGGCATGAGTGGCACAAACTGTGGTGAAAATTAAAGGATTAGTTCACCCAAAAATTTAAATTCTGTCATTAATTACTCACCCTCATGTCGTTCCAAACCCGTAAGACCTTCTTTCATTTTGGGAACACAAATTAATATTTTTGATGAAATCCGAGAGCTTTCTGACACCGCATAGACAGCAACACAACTACTACATTCAAGGCCCAGAAAGGTAGTTAAAGTCTGCCCCGAAACACTACAAAAATATCTGGCCTGAGACTGTAGAAAGGTTCTATCATGAAGAGGGTGATGGCCAAGAAACTATGCCCCTCCAAACACCATGCTGTTTAAAAAACATGTATTTATATCCTTAGAAACATTGCTCACCTGTAGGTGGGGATGACTAAGGAGGGCATATAGTTCTCGAGCTTCATTTGAGGGTTTTGGGACTGCCAGCAGGTAAGACAGAATCTAGAGTGCCAAAACATGAGTCAGGACTTATTAGGAATTGAAAATGTATTGATACAAAAATTGGAGTCAAGTCCAAGACCTCTAACAGACCCTCTAAGATAGGGGTGGGCAACTCTGCCCCTCGAGATTTATTGTCCTGCAGTTTAGCTCAATAACACCTGCCTCGAATTTTCTAATAATCCTGAAGACTTTGGTTAGATTATTAGAACAGTGGATCTCGAAGGCCAAAGTTGCCCACCCCTGCTCTAAGACCTAGGTCCAAACCAATACCAGACCCCCTACGGCCCAGACCAAGGGCAACAGTAAACCTCATGAGCCACAGATTCAGACCAAAACATAAACCCAACAGAGCAATAACATCATGTCAGTCGGGTAATAACATTATGTTCATGTGGTGTCAAGAGGTCTAAAGACCCAGTACAATCTGCAATGAAGTCCTCAGGCACACTAAATGATGAAGCTTTAGAGGTCATATTTTGGATATTTTGAACTCCATCAAGGAAGCGTGAACTGAAACTACAAGGCATGAGTGGCACAAACTGTGGTGAAAATTAAAGGATTAGTTCACCCAAAAATTTAAATTCTGTCATTAATTACTCACCCTCATGTCGTTCCAAACCCGTAAGACCTTCTTTCATTTTGGGAACACAAATTAATATTTTTGATGAAATCCGAGAGCTTTCTGACACCGCATAGACAGCAACACAACTACTACATTCAAGGCCCAGAAAGGTAGTAAGGACATCGTTAAAATAGTCCATGTGGCATCAGTGGTTCAACCTAAATCTTATGAAGCTACGAGAATACTTTTGTGCGCAAAAACCCCCCAAAAATAACGACTTTATTCAATTGCGTTGTTGTCTATGGAGGGTCAGATGCTCTCAGATTTCATAAAAAATATCTTCGTCAAAAAATAATTTGTGTTCCAAAAATGAGTGAAGGTCTTACGGGTTTGGAACGACATGAGGGTGAGTAATTAATGACAGAATTTTCATTTTTTTGGTGAACTAACCCTTTAAGAACAGTTAGAGTGGAGCTGACCTGTAGAGAGAGTCCAGACGAATAGGAAAGATATGGCCTAGCTGGACCCTTTAGGTGCCTCTGTAGACATTCATACACCTGCAGAGAAAGAAGGAGATGATGAACCCTGACCTTTAACTCACTGTTAATAAGTGTATGTAGGATGGACTCTACCTTTAGTAGGGACTGCAACCAGGGGGCGTTGAGGAGACTGTACAATAGTTCAGCTCCATTTATATCTTTATTGACAGAGCCCCTCACTTCAGCAATCACATGTGCCAAGATCTGTGTCAGGCCTGGAACATGCAATGCAAGCACCTTCAGAACTGAAAGCTGGTTGAGTACATGTCAGTTATATGTGATGCTCACTACTTTTTCAGCAGCTACAACAGTGCTAATATTAGCATGTTGTTAATTAGCAGGGCAAAACTACAATTAATATGGAAGCTTTGAAATTTAAGTAGCTTCATGCAGCATCATACCTTTGTCTCCCATCTCCAGTGGAGCTGACCTAGGATCAGTCTCCACATCTGGTCTCATTGTCAATCCTGGAGTGTTTGGGGGTTCAGGGAATAAATAAATGATGCACTGACCCTCCTCATATACAGCTGCAAGAAAAAGCACATGAACTCAAGTAAAACTGCTGATCAGTTGCTGACTGTTACATACAAGTAAACTGTAAATTCAATAAAAATGTTGTGTTTATGCTGTTACTTCCTCTTCATTGGTGTGAATAAGACATTCTAGCTTGGGCTGCATTTCACAAAAGCACCATAAGGTTAAGTACCATTGAACCATTGACCCTGATGGTCTCTGCAATCTACTCAGCCTTACAATGCTTTTGGGAAACGCATTACAGAAATTTTATGGTTGTAAATACAATTCAAGTTTCCAGCCTTACCTTATATAAGTGTTTAATATCTGAGACATTGTGATTTGGATATGCACTTAAAACCTTTACAGACAAACAATAGTGGTAATTTAGGGTGGTGTGGCATAAAGATCATGGCTAGTAACCAAACGTTTGTAGGTCCCTATAAGGATCATTGGTCTATAGGGACTGTCCTTATTGTTACTTTGAATAAAAGCATCCAGGGTATGACAAATTTGCAAATTATAGACCATTGATTGGTTAAAGTGTAAGGGCTGATAACGCTTAGGTCTTAGGTTAAATCCAGAATGGAGGTGGTCCAGGAATGCCCTTGTCACAGTTTGACCTTGAGCAAAACACTTAAGTACAGGTTACTCCAAGGGGCCTGTCCTGGTAATAAGTGCACCCTAAGTGGCTTTGGATAAAAAACTCTACATAACCAACATATTTTTACGCTAAAATAACTCTTATGTATTAGCCTAATAGAAAGTTTCATGTCCTACGGAAGCAAAGCACTTGCGTCTGATGTTCCGGTTTCGTTTTTAGGCAAAAAACATGCATGAATGAGAACATAAAGTGCAGGACATGCTTGTTGTTAAAATAGTTATTAATCATAATAAAACTCTCTCTCGCTCTCTCTCTCTCTCTCTCTCACACACACAAATTTAACATCTAATGATCCCACACTGAACACGTACATTCTGCATCACATACGCACATGTACGTGGGATGTAATCTCCTTTGATTAAAACAGTGGAGCCAATGGTACACTTTTTTTTTATTTTTATCCCACTGCACTGTGTTTTCACATTATACCTTTTTAAAATAAAACTGTGCATGGCAGATCGGGGCTAACTGTCACAGGGGGGTTATCTCAGTAACTAGTTTTGGGCAAAAATTTCAATTGCCTAAATGCTTATTTCAGAAATTTAAGATTTTTATTTTATTTTAAATGTCTGTCTTTGCTGATTTGAACAGCGATAATGTATTCCTAAAATTTAAGGAAAATACATCTCATGACCAAATCAGTTCAGCATGCAAAGCGCTGTGGCTCATCAGAGAGCAAGATCTTCAACCTCTTGTTCCAGTGTGCCAGTGACATCCACTAAAAAACTCATACATTGCCGACGGATACTCAGATATGCAAAGGAAATTTCAAACCATTCCAAATGTTTTCTGAAATAAAGGCTTGAACGGTTTCAGAAAACTGACTACAAAAATACGTAACTTCCCCGAAAGAAGTGCATCAAAACAAAACTGCTGTGCGAGTGCATAGAGAAAGAACAAAATATATGTGTGTGTGTCGGTGTGTTGATCTCAGTTTAGTGTCAACCGTTTCAATACTAAGTTCAATTTGGATGAACAAAGAAGCTAAACAAAGATTTATACATAAAGAAGCAGGTCACCAGTTTCTTACGAAAGCTCCAAATGGATCAGAAGTCAACAATAAAAGTTAGTCCACATTTTGTGTTTTGTTTCTTTCTTGGGACATTCATTAATAAAATTTATGTGAACAGATTCATGATTTGGGTCCAAGGCAGTTTGCTGTTTGCACTGAATGATGTAATAAGATCAGGAAATTTAATGTAGTAGTTTACTTCAAAGACAGAGGTAGATGACCATTATTTCGGATGGCTTACAGTACATTAATGAACGTCGTATGTCATCGATCGACTGCTGACACTGGATTGACCAGTGTGTGCTTGGAGGGAGAGGTGATCGTGACATGCTGTTCTTGAACCTCATTCATTCTGAGCCAACAAAGCACGGGCTCTTTAATAAAAGAACACTGAGCTGGAGAACATATCTTTAACATGATGGAATGACAGCGGTTAAAAAGCCTCTGAGTGAGGAAGACACAAAAATGAAAAGAACAAATGTTAATAAATGCAAAACCAAAGACGGACTTGCACATAAACAGCACAGATTCCAATGGAATCACTCTTCCTGGCCATGTGATCCAGTGATTGGCTCCTCACACATCATGGCAAGCGCCTTGTCTCGAACACTTTGATTGGCCGGTCTGTTTGTCAGTCATTCCACTGCCTTACCAGATGGGTTTGGAGAGATGTGTTCATTACGTGATCTTCTCATGCTGGATTTGATAGTAGCATGCCTGAGTGAGGAAGAGGAAGAGTTCAGAACAGCAATCTGGACTGTCACACTGTGCTTATTTGTATAATTATGAGTTGTTTTTTTTGACTATACAAAGCAAATTAATCCTTAATACTGATATTTAATGCAATTAATGTTTAATAAGATTAGCACTGAGGCAGTTTATATTTGGCTGTCTGTTACTATCTTTTATATTCTAAACTGTGGTCAACCTTACCAATGTTTGACTAATTTTTGTATATGAAATTTTGCTAATATGTCCGCATCTTAACACTGCATTGTTTCACACCGTGCAGCAAGGTTTGCAAGGAAAAAAACCCTTGTGAAGAACCCTTATAGACTATACCTTGAGTGTGGTGAACATGATGCCATGCTCTCCATGTTGTACACATGGATCCATTAGGTCCTCGATGAGGCTGACCTCTGACCCCAGATTCCTTATCCTGTAGAGAACAACAGCTATGTCAACTAAAAGATGCCTTTTTAACAATGTGTTATTTTCTGTGTTAAAGCATATGCAGAAAAAAAAAACTGGATGTCTAAAGGAACACATCCTCTCTATCTAAGACTACATTTAAGCCTAGTATGTATATCTGACTTGGGTGATCTGATCTGATCTGATTGGGTGATTTTGAGCACCAAATCAGCATATTACAATGATTTCTGAAGGATCATGTGACACTGAAGACTGGAGCAATGATGCTTAAAATTCAGCTTTGAATCACACAAATAAATTAATTTTTAAAATATATTCAAATGAAAAATGGTCATTTTAAATTGTAATAATGTGAAATATTATTACAGTTTTTACTATATTTTTGATTAAATAAATGCAGCATCGGCATGCATAAGTGACTTCTTTCAAAACATTAAAAATCTCTTAATGCCAAACTTTTGAAAGGTAGTGTACAAACATACTCCAAAAAACAGGGCCTTAGAAACCTTGTGATCTCATCCTTACCGTGCACGCAGAACAACAAAGAGGAAGACAGGAAAAAGGTCATCCATAGACCACAAGAAATCCTGTTTCAGAAGTGCGAGAACTTCCTGGGTTATCTCCTCAAAGGTCAGCTGGATGACCTGAAGCTTGTCTGAGGGGGTAAAAGTTGTGCTGTCAAAGTAAAAAGATAAACAACCTTAAAAACAATTTACCAGAGATAAATTATAAATGTTATTAGCCAGAAATTGTTGTAAATCTCCAACCTTATTTGCTGTAAAGTCTCAACTGCCGAGGCAAAACAGGCGTCCTTAGTGCTTGAGAGAACCTACACATCCCCAAAATACCTCCATGAATATTGCTTCATGTTCCAGAGTCTTATTTCAGGTAATATAATCAGCATATTGCCTTCAATAACAGCTTTATGAGACTTTTTAAAAGAAACTCAGGGGCCGTTCACACAGAACGCGTTTTTCCATTACAATGCTCTACTTTTTCATTGTTTATCTATGTAAATGCATACAAGTGCCGCATTTTTAAGACACCGTGTCAAGTTAAAATCATTTCAACTTTTACACGCAGCACCGCTCATCAATGCCAGTTCCGAAACAGTGGACCAATCAGAACCCTGGAGACGAGCAAGCGTTGTGAGCTTTTATTAACAGTAGCAAGTTGGCATGGCAACTGTTTTATTTGACGGCAACATGGCGGATGAGGCATTCTGTGCTGTGCTTTTTTTAAAGCCATTCCTGAGCGCTGTGTCTCGTGTTTTTAGATGCAAAGACACATTCTGTGTGAACGGCCCTTTAGAGTCTCTCTAGAACAAACCTGTTGTTTTTCTCCATGTACTGTAACAGTCACAGGCCAGAATTTCCTATGAAGACAGGTATTAGTGGCAGTAGGATGGATCACTAGAGGATAATAAAATCTACTGTATGTATTTCTCAGTGTAGCTGTGTGTCTGACTCACTGTTGCACCCCGAGGAACGCGAGCAGCGCCAGGTCTGGTTGTTTGTTGAGTCGGAGCACACACTCCCAGTACACATCATCCTCCTTCTCTTTCTCTAGAGCATAGAGAGTGAAGAGAGGAGGATAGAGACGGGGCAACAGCACCGGCAGGAGGAGAGCAGAGCTGCTGACCACACACCTGCCATGCACACACACACACACACACACACACACAAAGACAATGCATAAGGTAACTGGTAAAAAATGACGTGCTAAAGACAGCTGGTAAAAGCACAGGAAAATCAGTCTGAATTTATGAGAAAAATTAATAACGACAAAAAGTTTGTCACAATTATGGCTTTTTATCTCATAATTTTGTTTGTCAATTTAAACCTTTTATTTCATAATTATGATTTAGTATGTCAACGTCTCATAATTATTACTTAATGTCATAATTTTGTGAATTCTAACCTTTTATCTCATAATTTTGCTTATGTCATAATTATGATTTTTGAGAGCATCAAAGACGATTATTTTCTTATGTGCCAGAATTAGGCTTCAATAGGTTTGCACCCATCAAGTTTCAATTAAAAAGAGAAAATAATCAAATGAGTAAAGTACTTTTCATTTATAAATTATCTAGATTATTACTACTACTACTACTAAATATTGTAGAAACTTAATTTGCTGTAAAGTTGCTTTGCAACGATTTGTATCGTGAAAATCGCTACACAAATAAACTTGAATTGAATAGATTATCAAAAATAGGCATTACCTCATGGTGATTTAATATACAAACATATTTTTATTTAATTTCCAGTAACAACAACGACAAAAACTCTAACTGTGATATAAACCATTACAGTTGTATAAAATAAATTTACTCATGCTGTAATATCAGAGTTTGGTCAAACCACCCCAGTGTGCTATGTATTATTTTTCACATAAGTGAGACATCTTACGTACCCAGGTTTAGGAGACTCCAGCTGCTTCCCAGCAGGGTCTGAACCACCCTTCGCTTTTGGAGGGTCAGCTAGTGAACCTCCTTCCTCTGGCAGATCAGGAAAGAGGAATCTAAACACAAACACATACATAAATATTCATGGAAACAACATTTAAAACAAAATCTGTCGTCGGTCTGACTGACACATTTACCTGACAAGCTGGAAGATGCGGCTGAGATAGGACTTGATCTCATTGACAGCCTGGGGCAGTAATCTACGGTTGGCCCCAACACCAACGTACGTCATACGGTACACCGAAACCAATGTCTCCACCAGCCGACCCAGAGGATGCAGTGGGGTGTCACATGCCTGGGGTCAAACACCAGGGGTCAATGACTTATAGTGCAAAATCATCAGACAATTGAACTACTAGAAGGGGCAAATTATGACATCAGGCAATGCATACCTTGACAAGGTACCGACGGATTGTGTGATACACCTCTAACGTCACAGGACCCACATGCTGAGGAATGAACTCTAGACTCTCCAGCGTTTTGTGATGAGAGCGACTCAGCAACTCTGGACTGAAACACACAAACACACACACATATATATTCAGTTTATACTTTATACATTTTACAATACACACTTAATATTCATGTTCCATAGGTTTTCATCCTTTTTATTATAAACATATTTTATTTACATTTACATTCAGTTGTTATAAATAATTTGGTTTGTGTGGAAGCCCAGAAAAAAAAATCATGTTTTGGTAAATCATAATTATTGCAGTAAAAGTCATAATTATAAGATAAAAAGTTATGATTATGAGATAAGAATACATTTTGACAAAAAAAAAATTTTACTGAAAAAAAAAACGTTATACTTTATTTCTGCTACTCTTATGTTTATCTCTCTTTTTTTTTTTTTAGAATTATGACATTCCTACAAAAAAGTTGATTTATTAATCATAATTATGACATTTCATAATTATAACTTAGTATTTCATCATTTCAATTTATAATTAATAATTTAAAAATTAATTTTAAAAGTCAATTAACTTTTCTTATTTGGCAGAAATGGCCTTCCATAGGTGTACACTATATGGAATAATATATATAATTATATAAAATATGCGTGTTACAGAATGTACAAATGGTTAACATTGTTTGTGTCATATCAGTCAGAAAAGCAGTTCTGGGCTCTTTTTTTTTTGTTAACATAGTTGTTATTCTTGGCTGAATAACTCTAGAAGGTTTTAAAAACCATTTAAAATTAAATATGTACACAGTTTGGATTAAATGAAAGTGTAGTCAAATTTTTTAATTAGCATGTTTTTGTGTTTTGCTTTGGTACCGAAATTGGTACCGAGAACCGTGAATTTTCACTGGTATTGGTGCCGAATACTGAAATTTTGGTACCGTGACAACACTAGTGTACACCAATCAACTTCCAAATAAAAAGAAAAAATAATAAAATTAGATGAAGTACTACTCATATATCAGTTCACTAGATTATCAAAAACAGGCATTACCTCATTGTGATTTAATATATAAATGATTTTTTTATATAATTTTAATATATAATATTATTTTTTCACCCACCCTTATCTAGCATGATATGTAATATTTTTCTGCTTATTAGAGTACCGATTTGTTAGCTAACTAATGTCAGACTCTGCTGGAATCATCTGTGAGTGTCAGGGGAGTTTTGCATGGAATATTAGACAATGAGGCACAGTCAGGCTTTGGAACAGGTCTACTCTGCACTGTGTGTGTGTGTGTGTGTTTAAGTGTACCTGTCTCTCTGCTGTCTCCTGTTAGCAGTGAGTGCTACGGCAATGTTGTCCCACGCTGTAGTGGTTTGTCCCTGTCCGGGAGAATCACAGCCTAGCCTGTTCCAGCACTCCAAAAACACGGCCTTCCACTTTTCTTCGGAGTGAACTGCTAACCTGCCCAGTTTACTGCAATCGCACAAACACATCGGTTCCCCATCAACATTGATAATGCAGCTTAAAATTGAATTGTGCTACAGAGATCAACACACACTCTTACAGTGCATGATCCTTCTCCTTGTCTGAGTCGTACAGGCTGGGTTTGTAGTAGGAACCTGACATCTTTAGTCCGGTTCCCCAGACTCCACTAAAAGAGCCTTCAATGTAGTCTCCATTCGGCATGGTCAACACACCCTGCAGAAAGAGATGAACAAACATTACCATTTAAAAGTTTGGTAAAATGTGAGATTTGTAATATTTTTAACAACATTAATAATACTATTTTAATACAATTATATTAATATAATATTATTATCATATTTTTAATATTATTACAATTTAAAATAGCTGTTTTTCATTTTAATACATTTTAAAATGTAATTTATTTCTGTGATGGTAAAGCTGAATTTTCAGCAGCCAGTTGGCTACAGCTGTGCCGTGTAATATTTTTGTGGAAACCATGATACTTATTTTCTGAGTTCTTTGATGAATAGAAAGTTTTAAAAAGCATTATTTGAAATAGACATTTGTTGTAACATTTTAAGTGCATTTATTGTCAATATTGATCACTGTAATGTGCCCTTGCTGAAAAAAAGTTTTAGCTTCTTTCAAAAAAAAAGAAAAGAAAAAAAAAAAATCACCTTTCCGTTTAGAGTCCAGTCTTCAGAAAACTCCCCTTCAAATGTGGTGTCATCCTCAGAGAGTAACACCCCATTGCCCTTGAAGAGAAACAATTAACAAGATAAAATAAATAATCTGAAGTTTCTTTTTTCGTACTTTAGCAAGTACGTGTGAATGTGTGTGTGTCAGGTTTTGTCATTTTTGTAGAATCAAATGCACTTCAGTCATTAAAACCTAATACCTAATGTGTGGAGACAAAAGGGAAAAAACAGGAGCTATTTTTTCTTTTCTTCAATTTGTTTCAAAAATATAATTTGAATAAAACCTTGTATACATAATATTTTTATTTTGTAGTAACTGTTTTATAAAAGCAATAAAGCACAAGGGGTCATGATATATTGTGAATAAAGTCATAATATGCACAGTGTCTCATACCTACATTGCTAAAATAAAACCAAATGTGTGCATGTCAATCTCACCATCATTTTGTTGTTGCTGAAAGCACCTTCATAGTACAGGCCGAACTGCGTAACAACAACTGCGTTCCCCTGACGCTGATCATCCAGCCACATGCCCATGTACTTCTCCCCTCTGACACAAAAAACAGTTAGTATAGTGCACAACTGCGCACACACTTACAACATATACAACACATTTCAACTCAAGGCATAAAAGTGCCGCAATCATTTTGTGAATTCACTTGACTCTCTGCATACCTGGTGATGTCATCAAACACTCCATAGCCAGATTTTTTGTCATACTGCCACTGGCCGATGAAGACACTGGGAGAGGTGGAATTCAGCTTCCCACTACGCAACATCCCATGACCATGACGCATGTTATCTTGGAAAGAACCCTCATATATTTCACCAGAGGCATATCTGAACACAAACACACACACTCTGTCAGTTTTATGACATCGAATCACATCAGCAAACAACAGTTAAAAAGTTTGGGGTCAGTACGATTTAAAAAAAATTTGTTTGAAGATAATTAATACTTTTATTCAGCAATGATGCATCAAAATTTACAGTCAAGACATTTTATAATACTACAAAAGATTTGTATTTCTGATCTTTTCGACTTTAAAAAAGGTATTATGGTTTCCGCAAAAAACATCTTTCCTCAACTGTAATAATAAGAAATGTTACTTGAATACCAAAGATATTAAAATGATTTCTGAAAGATCATGTGACACTGAAGATTGTAGCAATGGCTGCTGAACATTCAGCTCTGCCATTACAGGAATACATTTGTAAAAAATATTAAAATAGAAAATGATTTTAAATTGTAATAATATTTCACATTATTGTTGTTTTTACTGAATTTTTGAACAAATAAATGCGCAAAACCTTTATTACGTGGAAAACACAGTGATCAAAATTAGAGAACAGTAACCACTGTAGCGCGAAAGAAGATTACAACTAAAATTGTGGAGGGTTACAGCTGTCAAAAACGAGTAGGAATTGTAGAGGCTCCTGCTTTGAATGACTTCAGCACATCTGCGGCCGCAGGACATCACTAGTTTCTCACTGTGCTGGTGTGATCTTGGTCCACTCTTCTTCCAGTCTCTTCCATAGTTCAGTGACTGTAGTGGTTTTCTTAGCCATGACTTTGTCGCCAAGGACTTTCCAGAGATTTTCAGTTGGGTTTAGATCAGGACTCTGGGCTGGCCTTTTCATTATTTCAGTGTTCTTCGCTTCAAGGAACTGCTTTATCCGTTTTGCAGTGTGACGGGGGCATTGTCTTGCATGAAAATTGCAGGCAAGGTACCGCATGTTGTTGAAATGTTACTGATAAACATTTGCATTCACCCGCCATGTAGCTGTATAAGAGGCCCAACATCCCCCAAACCATGACACTTCCTCCTCCACCTTTCACTGACTTCTTTACGCATTCGGGCTTCAGTCTTTACCCAGTTTGATGCCAAACAAAATGTTTCCCATCAGACCCAAATAAATGAAACGTGAACTTTGGACCAGTTCTCCTCTCTCCACACAACATGCTCCTCAGCAAAGGGGAATCTAGCCTTTTGATTCTTTCTGCTGATGAGAGGCTTGGTCACTGCAGAGTGCGCGTTTAGTCCCATTTCTCTTAAACGTGCCGAGACAGATTCTTACCCTGTTCAGCACTGAACTGGCGAGCATTTTCAGCTGCAGTGTTGAACTGATTCCATGTTGAGAGTCTCCACATTATCCTGTCCTCTTGTGCATTTGTCTTACATGGACAACCAGCCTCTTTGGGGGACTTGAATTAATTAGTGTCATTGTAAAGCTGCAACATTCTAGAAATCACAGATTTGGAACAACCAGCTTCTTTTGCAATGGCTGAAAGGGTCATCACTTTGGCCTTCATCTGGACAACATGCTGTCGCAGGGTTTCAGGCAACTTAGAGCTGCCTGCCATCTTGCAATCTCAGTGAAAATTAGAGGAATGCTGCCAGTTAAACAGGGTTTGTCATATAATTGAGGAAATTAGCACCAGGTGCCAGATTAACACCAATAACTTGTAGGTATCTGTAAGTGTTCTCTAATTTCGATCGGAGTTATTTTTCAAATATCTCATTTAAGTTTTTTATACTGTGCTTCAGAATACAATTAATTTATGAAATATGCTTAAAAAAATGCCCTTCTACTCGTGTTAGGATAACTTCAAATAGGACTAAGCAGTGACCTTGAAATTTAGGAAATTGTAGGTTGTTCTCTAATTTTGATCTCCACTGTACATACAGAAAAATCATATGCAAAAATAAAAACACAATCCGCAAACCTGAATGTTCCAAAGCCGTGCATCTTGCCATCCTTCCATTGCCCTTGGTAATGATCACAGCTGTTCAGGTTTTTGTTAGGCACAACGTAATCTCCAAAACTACAAAGGAAAAGAACGAGCCGTTTTAGGGGGGCGTGGCAGAGTCTTAACTTTGATAAAGAATATCTCTTTGGATTTGAGACTTTAGTCTTTGCAACTTCAGGGATCTTATCTATGCACAATCAGCTTGTAACACTCCACAAAGAGAAAGGAAAACTTGAAATCGCATCATATGACCCCTTTAAAATATTTCCAGAAATATGAAGTAAGAGACATCAGCATAATAATCTGAAGAAGAAAAAAAAAGTGTTATCACTTACCCATCTTCAAGGCCGTTCTTGAATGTCCCTGTGTACATTCGTTCATCGGGCCATTTGACCACGCCCCTAGAACACAGACATAGCCAATCAACATCTTCCACGTTTTGAGAAGACTTACACACCCACAATTCCCTCTCCAATGACCTACCACCCATTGGGTTTCCCTGAGACCCATCGGCCCTCATACATGGCCTCCTTAAGCCGACTGTCTTTGTAGAATGTGTATGATGCTGTCCGTGAAATGGGCGGATCTGCTCTCTGCGCCACCCCCGTAGAAGGAGGTATCCCATCATGCCCCAGTCCACTAAGCGCTTGCTCCACCGCTTGGTTTATAGAACGCAGCCACTTCGCCTAGGAATCAGAACATCACTGTTTAACCAACTATACAGGTTTCTGTAAATAATAATTTTGTAAATAATCAAGTCAGGTCTACCTTTTCAGCTGGGCACGAGGCCAGCAGAGTGAAGCTCTCTTCAGGTGAAGTCACTTTTAAACCAAATCTGCAGAGAACCACGCAAACTTCATAACTCTTCATAACACTTGATAATTATATAAAGCTAATAAACATGGCTGGCACACTCACATGCCTGTGTTCTCCTCAGAAATAGGCTCCACCCACAATGTAGCCAATGGGAAGACGTGATGAGTGGAAAACTAGGAGGGGTTGAAAAAGAAATGCAACTAATGCAAGAATAGCATACAGAAAATAAATGCACTAGGATTGTACACAATTCTGTCCACTCCAGATTAATGATGCATAATATATCAGTACCATCAGTTATCAGCAGATAGGAGATCTATCTATCTATCTATCTATCTATCTATATCGTATCTATCTTATATTAATCTTACTGACCCCAAATACTGAATGGCAGTGTATGCTATAATGCCTAAATTCACTCATAGCATTTATAGTACTGCATTTTGTTTTTTAGCGTTCTATTGGTAATTTATTTAGACTAAATAGGATAGAATTAATAATGATGGTGAAAATCTTGTTGCCATACAATATTTGTCAAAAACTTAACGAGCACACCTCAAGCATGAACCAACTGTCAATTGGTTTACAGTTTTTGTAGGTTGTCAACTACTATTTTAAAGTATAAAATGTTGAACATATGGTTCTTTTTCCTAAGAGCACATTTCAGTTTTTTTTAGGATGGAAAGGGATAATGCTGATGAAAGGAAAAACAGACACATACACGCACTGTAAAAGGTATCAAGGAAAAACAACAGGGAGGAAAATAATGGATTATCATCTCAAATACTCACTGGTACATTCACTAAAACGAGACTCAGCATTAAACAGAACCACTACTGTTCAACATTCAGCACAATTCAGCACAACATGCCCCTTACTACAACCAGGTACATTTATGCATATGTGCTATAACATATCTTTTACAAAGGGTTTGCAAGCAGGAAGCCTTGGAATGTACCCAACCAGATGTACTGTCATCTTTCTATGGTTTTAAACCACACAGGAACACTACATTTTTGGAAAAGGTAGAGTCTAAAAAACTAGAGGTTCAAACTGAGCTACAGTATTACAGATATTATGTGATTTTAATTGATTACATTCTTTAAAGGAATATTCAGAGTTAAATACACCTTAAATTCTCTTGACAGCATCTGTGGCCACAGAAAATCATTTTGACACATCCATCAGTTTGTCCAGTAATGCATTTCAAGTGAAAGCCTATGGAGAGCTTGCACAGCAATACAAAAAGATGAAAATATGAAACAGTCACACTGATGCAAAAGTATAATAACATGTTGTAACTGATGTAACTATGAGTAAAGTACTTTTAGCAGAGCTAACCTTCACCCAGAGGAATTAAAAACCTTGCCAAGACAACATTTCTCAATTTAATTTAGTTTAACTTGATATATAAATAGTTAAAACTGAAATAAAACAAATAAACAATGTAGACATATAAAAAAAACTACTAAAAAGTTACTAAAACTTGATCTAAAATAAATAAAAATACATAAATAAATAAATATTCATAAAACCTATAATAGTATCTCAACTATACTAAATGTCACTGATTAGCATTAACATTTCATCTTGGTTTTTACTGTAAGATGTGTCTAAATTATTTTCTGGATTAACCCTGTAGGGTCCACTGTTGTAATATTACAACATCAGTTTTAGCTCGACTAAAATAAAGCTGCACATGTGTTTTTTTTCTCTAAGACCACATTTACACAACTAACAGGTCCTATTGTTCAGCCTTGCAATGCTATTAGATGCTAGATTTTAAACATAGGCCTGTTTACCTGGCCATGAACTCACACAACCGGCGAACTTCCTTTGAAGCACATCATCTTGTTTACAGGACTGGATAAATCTACATTCAAGTAAGTAAAATGCCTAAAATATTAATTTTTTTCTGTGATTAGTAATAAGTCTAGATCATGAAGATATTAATGTATTGTTGAATGCATTGATCATTTTAGATTTTGAGCTTATTATGTCAGTGTAATTTTACAACACTGGGTTAAAGGGGTAGCAAAATTTGCCTGTGCACCTTGCACATTACATGGATGAATTGCGCTTCTCACTTGTTCCATGTGAAAAAAAAAATACTAATAGAAACATACTGTTTTTGATCATTCACAAGTTTCATCATTCTTTTTTGTTACCATTTTGAGATTCAATCAAGATTTTAAGATTATTAAATAAATTCAATTTGAAGAATAAATTATTTCTTTGAGAAGTATTTCAGAATGTCACTAACCAAGAAAGACCGTCTCATCATATGTGTATGATATCACTGATGGCGTCCAAAATGGGAACAGAGACTTTGAGATGGACTTGATTAAAATCAAGTCATGATGGATGGTTTAAAGCTTTCATTCAGTTCATCAGGTTTTGTAAATATAATCAGAACATATTTTTATAATAAAAATTTTTTCTCCATAAAAATATGGCTTATTTTATCATTATTGTGTGATTGTTAGTGTGTATACATATATAGACTATTGTTATGGGGTTGCAGAAGCATTACACCCTGCAAATTAACCTTTAGATGTTCTCTACATTTGTTCAGACAGTGAGTAAAATCACTGAAATTCTGCTACCCAAGAGCCTAACGTTGCAATATTACAAATGTGTGACTATTTCACATTTCCCTAAAAACTTACTAAAATGTCATAAATGTAAAAACCCATTTATTTCTACATTAGTGGCCTCCTAATAATCACAAAATTTTAAATGTGAAAATGTTCACAGTTTTTTTTCTATATTTGGGTCTTTGAGGGTTAATCAGATACCCTAAGTATTTAATAAAAGTTTTATTTAACCCCAGAATATTCCTTTAACAACAGCACTGGACAAACCAAACACTACAGCTGTAGGGTGCATCCTTGGGCACTAGGGGACAGTATGCTACGGAGGAAACTCTTCATTCGTACAGCCCATACTTACAAGACTCTTATAGGGGACCATGCCCTACCAAAACAAAGATAAACATCACTAAAACATCAGTCATTGGAAACAGATTGTTAGTTTGGCCCTGTAAGCGAATAAAAAACTGTCGTGAAAGAATTGTGTAAAGAAAGAAGGATGAGAGCAACAGAAAAGGCAGAGATAAAGCAGAAATGATACTGAAATGAAATGAAAGTATAAAGAGGAGAGCAAACCTGTGCGTGAACCAGCGCGTCGTTGAAAAGGATAAACCAGTTGACGGAAAAACGGCCTGCGTTCTGAAGAGTCAAAGCCTTATTACTGCTCTCACAGATCAGCCGACGGGACGGTTTACGAAGAGAGTCCTGAAAGAAGAGGAGAACTCTTAATTAACAGTCCAACTTCATCCACATTCTAGCTCTCCTCCACAAGTGCACCGAAATAAAATGATTCGCTCAGCATGAAGAGCACCTGGCTGTCTGGTGTGCATTAAACTGACTGGCATTTGACAGTGCTTCTGTGCTGACGGCAGCAAGGTGACTCACGGTCATCTTTCCAGGAAAGCTCTTCCAGAAGTGGAGTGTGTACTCGGCTTCCTTCCTCCTCCTCTTCAGATGAAGAGCCATGGATTCATATTTTGAGCAGGCATCTTGCAGCTTCTGATAATCCACAGAACTCTGTCACAAAGATACAGAAGTGGGATTTATGTAGTGATAGTGTACTGAGTGAAAATCTGTGGACAATACAGCCAGTCCTGTTATTGGTCCCCATCGTGACATGAGTCCCCATGAGTCTGTGTGTATTCAGGTTTAAGTCCCCACCAGAATAGAAAAACAGGTACACACACACACGCACACAAACACACACACACACACAAACACACACACACAAACACACACAAGAAAGAATAACCCAACAAACCTAAATAGGCAATAAATAACTGCACAAATAAATAAGCAAAAAACAATAAATAAGCAAAACAAATGCAAAAAAAGCAATAAATACATAAGCAATAAGTAAGCAATATATAAGCAAAAACTAAATAAGAAAGCAAAAATATAAAGCAAAAAAATAAATAAGCAAAAATACATGCATAAACAAACGTTTATTGTTACACGTTACATGTACTTACTATTATAATAACAATTAATTATGCATAATTACATGCAAGTAACACTAAGCCAAACCCAAATCCTAACCCTAACCACATAGTAAGTACATGTAGTTAATTAATATTACTCAGTACTTATATGTATAATTACACTGTAACAAGGACACCTTAAAATAAAGTGTAAACATAAATACAAACATTTTCTTATTAAGGTAGTCTGGTTTAACATTTTGTATGTACAAACAATTTCTATACGTGTGAATAACCAAAAGAGTAACCCGATTAAGCAAAAAATAAATAAACGTCAGAAACTCCTTAAAAACAAACAAATCAAATGGGATGAATAATTTTAAAAGGTGTTTTATAAAAAATAAAAATAAAAATGGACAAAACATGAAGTGTTACTGTGTTTCCAGTGAGTACCCACCACCTCATAGCAGGTAGCCAGTTTGAGCAGCAGTCGTCCGTATTCATGCAGGTGTTTTATGGGCAGGTAAAAGAGATGCGCCAGAACATCCGCTAAGGGCAAACCCTCTTCAGAACATTCAGACAACTTCTGAACAACCTCGGCCCCTTTGCCAAACACATCACTTCAAACAGAGTCAGACAGGGAGTCTTAATATATATGTTAATATAATTCAGTCTGTAATTATGTAAATATGAACACTGCATGAGCAATAGCAAATAATTTCCATTACTCTAGTGATTTGCAGCAAGTGTTGAATCCTAGGACAGCAAAGGCTTAGGAAAGCATTTGGGATAGGGTCTAACACACACATATACTACTTACTGACAAGGTTTGACAAGGGCTTGAAATCCTCCCATGACTAAGAGATCACCAACTGCAGAACAGTACCTTTATGACACAATTAGAAGAATAAGGAGATTATTACAACTAGGAAAATGAGCTGACTTGAGAAGGAGGGTACAACATTTTTGAGCAATAAAATATAATATATATATATATACAGTATATACAGTATATAACTGTATAGAGATTGCAGCAACGAAGATACATTTCTGGTTAATGAAATGAATGTATTGATAACACAGATTTCCATGACTTTTTAAGGTTCTAATTTTAATTACTTAAAAATCCTTGCTATTTCCAGGTCTTCCAGCACGTCACACACTCAGGACTTCGCCCCACTAAGAAAACTGCCTGAAAGATATCAGATTCTGAATCAAAGTCTCTGACTCTTAAAATGAGGACAACACCTTAAAAGATATCTCAAGGCTGCGGTTGAACGTACGATTATTTTGAACAACTTAAAGAACCAACTGAGGATCAGTCTGATTAAATACATTTGAGGATTTTCAATTATACATCACATTAGAAGTATAAAATCTCTTTGATGCCTGAATATGTTACTTTTGAATTAGAAGTTAATTCAGTACAGCTCTGTAGAGAATATAACTTGCTAAAAACATCTTGAAATTCAAGAATCCAGCAAGTTACAATAATCTGATTTTAAGATTAACTGTGTTCATCTAATTGGTCTTAACTAGATCTCTGGGTCTTTCTAGTAGTGGGCCAATTAATGAACACTGAATAAACATTGATATTCAAACATGGCTGATTATTAAATGTGCTAATGACTGTGACATCACAACCATAACCATTTTTAAATGACTCGTTTTGCAGCTATGTTCCAATAAATGGCCCAGATGGACTGGGTGGGGAAGTTTTGCATTGTGAACTTTAGAGTATGTCTACACTGTAACTTAAAAACACTTAAAACACTTCTTTTCAGCATGGAGTAATGAACAACAACCAACATCTCTTATTCCATCTGCTGAGGTCATCACCAAAGTAACCATTTCATTCTTTAATTGTGTGTGTGCTGAATACTTACTCAGAATATGTGTCCAGGAACAGATGTGCATCATCTAGAATAACAAGACCTCGGATATCACGTGAACGCCGCAGGAAAGAGGTTAGAGAGGCCGAGTTTTGACCCGTGAGCTGAGACAGCCGGCCCAATCGTCCAATCAGATTCTGCAGAAGCCCTGCAGAGGACTGACCGAGGGCGGAGCTTAGGGAATCTAAAAGCAAAAACAAATAAAAAATAATAATAATAAAATTGATAATGATATGAGAAATAAAAATCCCAAATAATGAATCAGAAAAACAGGACAGTCATCATTATATTATATTATATTACCAGTGTTAGTTTAGTAGAGATTATTATATTATATTATATTATATTACCAGTGTTAGTTTAGTAGAGATTATTATATTATATTATATTATATTACCAGTGTTAGTTTAGTAGAGATTATTATATTATATTATATTATATTACCAGTGTTAGTTTAGTAGAGATTATTATAGAGTATATTTTGTTTTGAATTTTATATATTATAGAGTATTTTTTGTAGAGTATCTTGCTTTCACTTTAATTTTACTTAAATTTTAGTCACTATGTTGTTGTTTTTTTGTCAATTTATATTTCTATATAGTATTTACTATACTATATAAAGTGTGTGTGTCTGTGTCTATATATATATATATATATATATAAATACACACACACACATATGTATGTATGTACGAGTATACTACATACTATATAGTATTTATTGATTTTTATTAATTAGGTTTTATTTTATTTAGTTGTAGTTATTTTATCACTTAAACTATAAAAAATGAGAAATGTTACCTTGGCAACTAGGTGAAATAAAATAAGTTTGAGGGGGTTTTTATATTTTATTTTATTCTAGTTAACATATATTTTATTTCAAGTACCAAAAATGTTTTTTTATGGTTTTAGTTTAAGTTAACAATAATAACCCTGTTGCATACATTAAGGAACTGTAAATGATTCAGCTGTTTCACTTCTACTAGTCTTGCCACTGAATTACACCATATTTGTACAGCTCATGCAGGGCTATAATGGAGATATGCTAATGAAATCTAAATCGTACAAAACAAGTTATCATCACACACACACACACACACACACTGTCATACCCAGTTTGAGCAGAGGCTGGAGCAGAAGACTATTGATATTGCTGAGTTTGCAGTAAAATTTCCTCTCTGCGGCCGCCAGCTCATGCAGACTGGCAATAAAACCCATTACATTGCGATCTGTCAGCGCCGCACATGTTTGTCCTCCTGCGCCCACACTGCTTACATACCCCAACTACCACAAACACACACACACAATGAAAAGAGTCAGAATAAGTCATGTAAATAACAGCATCATTGCACAGGATTTAGAGCGCAGTAGTATTCAAAATTATCTGAGAATAATATTCATTATATTCAATAGCAATTTGAAAATGATGATGATGATGATGATGATGACAAAGCCTTGCTCACATTCATACAAAAAGGCAACAGCACCGGTTGCTGTGTGTACTCTCCTGTCTGCTCCTCTTCCTCAGTTTGCTCCATCACTTCTTTCACCTGCTGCCCACTATAGTACAGGATTGGCTGGATACAATCTCCATCAGCCAATAAGAGAGTGTGTTGTTGCCCCGCCCCAATATCCCACACACGAATCCCATCTGACAGCTGCACAAAGACAAAAGAGGACAAACAAAGCAAACCAGTCATGAATCAGTATGTTGTCAACACTAATTTGGACAATAGCTAGGGCCTTAACCCACTAAACACTGGAACACCGATGACTCGTTTACTGTTCCATGATTATGTGACTGCACATTAAAATGTCATTGGTATATCATTAACATCACAAACAATATTTATCATGTTTTACCGTGCATTGTGGGGTGTTTAATGTATCAGTGCACTGGAATGATTTAGTCAATGGGACATTCCTAGAAATAGCCAATACCCTGTGTTCTGATTACTGAATTATAGAGCTGGTCAAGACACAGCCAAACAAACTGGATGCACATGTACACTTAATGTCTGAAGACTCACATTGCTGCTGGGTGTGTGCAAGTGTCACAGTTTCTAGCCTTGTCATTTCTGCAGCATTTCTAAACCAGGAAGAAAAAAACTCAACCTTAAAGGGTTTTTTCTTAATACTAAAAATGCAATTATGCAAAAGTTATATAATTATAATGGGCTTTATTTAAAAACAATTGAAAATGTTGTTATATTGTTATATAGAATATTACAGAAACATTACAAACAAAATGTATAGACAAACTGAATGAATAAAGTGCATGGAAATTTTTTTATAGAACTAAAAACATATATCAATATTAACTACACTACTGCTCAAAAGTTTGGATTTGGTAAGATTATTTCAAATTTTTAAAAGAAGTCTCTTATGATCACCCAGGCTGCATTTATTTGCTCAAACAAACAAAAAATCAGTAAAAACAGTAATAATGTGAAATATTATTATAAATTAAAAACTGATTTCTATTTTAATATTTTATTTTTAAATGTAATTTATTCATGTGATGGCAAGGCTGCATTTTCATCAGTCATTCAGACTCATATAATATCACTTGAAATCATGCACGCTGTTTAATATTCATTCTTATAATATTTATTATTTAATAATTATTACAATTAAAATATTACTTTATTATTTTTTATAACTTTTCCAAACCCTTTTACATTTTCCAAAACCTTTTAAAAGATTTCAAAAGGAAGGGAATTTTATCCTCCCTCTTGTGATATTTTTTCGGTTTTATGTGCATGTGTGCACACCTTGGTTAAGTGAGGAAGGGTGGTGGGGGATTCCATGTGTCCCAGCTGTCCAGAAGTGTTGCAGCCCCAGGAGAACACCTGCCATACACACACACCACACACAAATTACTGCAGGATTACACTAATACAGCACTCAAGAGAAAAGCCACGGATATGCAGATGAAGTGTGTCACCTGTGATTGGGCGGTCAGGGCGAGAGAGTGATGAGCACCTGCAGCCACTCTCAACACCTCTTTACCATTCAGACTCTTTACACAGACGGGCTGCGGTCTGAAAAGAAAGAGTAAGAAATTACCACATTATGTTCCTCTGTGATGCATCTAATGAGTCTGTCCTCATTTTAGCAGAGCACATTATATTTTAAAGCCCTGGAATCTTATGTAACTCATGAGTTGTTAGGCAAGACAGTCTCCAGGAGCAGGACGGAGCCGCTCTCATGCCGCTCTGCTGATGGGAGGTTTCTGACCTGGGAAGGAGGTCTCCATGTCCAAGTTGCCCTTCCTGGCCACATCCCCAGCTCCACACTTCTGTCTGCAAAGAAGGCAGGTGGGCATCGGCCTCAGGAATGCCTCCTGGAGCGAGCGGGATGGCCCGTGCACGGTGGCGGCTCGTTCGCCGCAAAAGACGTGGAGACACTGAGAGAGCGGCAACAAGAAAGAGAAAAAAAAATTCTAAACAATTTTCGAACATCAATAACTAGAGGCAGAACACAATCCATATTCAAACGAAGAACCAAAATGATCGATCATAAGAAACTGCAACTCATGGCACTTTGTTCCTCATTGAATATGCATTAGTTCAGTTCTGCTATATATATATATATATATATATATACACACATATACATTACAGTAAGCAAAATGTGATTAAGTGTCAAGAAAATAATCACAATGCAAAAAAAATGTCTTTTTTCCTTTTGATTTTGAGTTGAAATTTAGACATGTGTCTGTGAGATTCACCCATGAAACTACTTCTAATTTAAAACTTATTACAAATGCAACTACATAAAAATACCTTCAGTTTTTGCGTTGGATGCCGACTCCTTCACCTCAAACGCTGCAATATCTGTATCCATGGCAACAGTAATATATGGGAAACCTATCCACAAGTGCCATCGGCAGAAATTTGAATAGCCATGGTAATACAACCAATGCCATTGACAAACATATTACTGTAAGTTAAAATAGGCCAGGCAGCAATTTGCAGGGTTTTTACTTTGAACTGAATGAACTAAGTCTTAACACACTGCACAGGATTATGATTAAACTTCACATATTCAGCTAATAAAAGAATACATTCATAGCAATCATTCCTCTGGTTCTTATGCGTCTAAACGGCAGATTCAGTTCTGCCATATAAACACAAACAAACAGCATAGGGAAAATTCACATGAATCATTGAACAGCACAGACACAGACCCAAAGACTTGGCCAACTCCAATTCAACTCTCTGCAAAACACACACACACACACACATTCAAACACAGTATGGCCAGGTGCACACACAAACAAACACACACGGACTGCTGCCGTGCTGAGTTCTGTTCCAGCCCCACTGGGGTCCATCTGTCACATAGGTGGGGCTGAGGAGATGAGAAAAGATGTGTGTGTGTGTGTGTGTGTGTAGCAGGTAGCTGGCCACCATTGTCTTCTCTAGCATGTGTATCAGGCTTCAGCTGATTTATGAACTCAGACAAACACACCAGGCTGAGGTATCCTGGAGTCTCATGAGCAGAGAGACTTTAAAAAGTCCTTGCATTACAATTTCTAATTCAGCGAACTAAATGTAAATCACTTTAAACACATGCAAAGCACTAGAGCAGAAAGTTTCTGACACCTCTGGAGACTTGAACTTGTTTTGATTACGTATATTAAAAGGGGGGAAATGTATTCATGCATCTACAACCTGTTTGTCAACTAAAAACCAGAAGGACTACTTTGAATCGCACAGTGTCAACACATGACTTATATTCATATTTCTGCCCAAACACAAGCAAAAAACTAAGAAAGTTTATTTTGAATTAATAAAATGAAGCGAGATTTTTTGTACGTTTTTCATTGTGAAATTATTTTCTTGACAATTATTCACATTTTCATCCAAACTCAATTACTGTCATATGAAAAAATATAATTCTTTTGTCACAAAAAGGAATGGAGTTGTTAGTTATTCATAGCCTCTGCAGCAGAAACACCAAGCGTGCAATGAGCTGATGGATGAGAGAGGCAAAACTTTACAAGATGCTCATCAACATGCTCATGCAGACTTACGGAGACGGCACACTGGGTGTAAGAGAAGGAGAGCGTGTGTACCCTGAGAGAGCAGGCCAGGCAGGGACAGGCGACGACTGAGCTCCGCCTCCTCCTCTCGGATGTCCCCCAGGCTGGAGCTTTTCTTCCCCTGCATGGGCTCCTCCTGACGCAGTCTCTCCTCTACTCGCTCTCCTGGAACCTGGAGCATTAAAAAATTGTCAAACGCATCATAGCTAGATTAGAATTTCTCAGTTTCTTCCCAATAAAAGTGCCAAAAACATCAAATAAAGGTTTGATGTTTAAGGAGGTGTAACAAACATGTAAACATACAGTATAAAAACTGGAAAACACACTTACCCAGTAACCAATCACTTTTCTCAGAGAGAGAGCTTCGTATGTGGACACTACACGTTCCCCCACTGCAGAGGCACAGGACACCACCAAGTTGTTCAATGCGGAGCCCATTGGAGTCACAGACTGGGCGACCGGGATCAAGGGGTCAGAGGTGAAACAATCAGCACAGTCACTGGAGAGCTGTGATAGGAAAGATATGAGAACTTGAATTGTGCATTTAGAAGCAATTAAACAGTTTGATTTATGATGGCTTGGAAGAGTCAACTAGTTGGATAGTGATGACAGGATAGTGATTTTAACTAAATAAACAAAAATCTAGATATTTTGAACTGTATTTGTTACAGGTGAAGCTGTCAACTTCTCAAACAGGGTTTTAGCATGTCAACGTGCTAACAGTTAAATGTTTATATGTGACCCTGAACCAGAAAACCAGTCTTAAGTTTCAATTTTTTTCGAAATTGAAATTTATATGAATAAATAAGCTTTCCATTGATGTATGGTTTATTAGGATCGGACAATATTTGGCTGAGATGCAACTATTTGAAAATCTGGAATCTGAGGGTGCAAAAAAATCTAAATACTGAGAAAATCGCCTTTAAAGTTATCCAAATGAAGTTCTTAGCAATGCATATTACTAATCAAAAATTAAGTTTTGATATATTTACGGTAGGAAATTTACAAAATATCTTCATGGAACATGATCTTTACTTAATATCCTAATGATTTTTGGCATAAAAGAAAAATCTATAATTTTGACCCATACAATGTATTTTTGGCTATTGCTACAAATATACCCCAGCGACTTAAGACTGGTTTTGTGGTCCAGGGTCACATATTAAATTTGGATATAGATATACAAATACATACACTACTGTTCAAAAGCGTGGGGTCTTTTGTTTTTAATATACTTTTATTCTGTGAAAATGCATTAAATATTTAGTCTAAATAAATGTAAAAAAAAAAAAAAAAACCATACTAAAAAAACAAAACAAAATTCAGTCCTGTAAATGCTACGTATGCATCATAGCATATACTGCCGTTCAGTGTTTGGGGTCAATAAGATTTTTTTTTTTAAAGACTTTTTTAATAAGCAAAAATGCATTAAATTGATTAAAAGTGAGAGTAAAGACATTTATGTTACAAAGCTGTTGTTTTGATCTTTTTATTCATCAAGGAATCCTGAAAAAATGTATAATTGTTTCCACAAAAATATCAAGCAGCAAAATAATTTTTTTAACTGGGATAATAACAATAAGAAATGTTTTTTTTTTTTCAGAACCAAATCAGCATATTATAAACATTTCTGAGTAAAAAAATTTTTAGTAATGACTGCTGAAAATTCAGCTTTGGAATAAATCATAAATTGTAATAATATTTCACAATATTACCCTTTTTACTGTAATTTTTATCAAATAATTGCAGCCTTGGCGAGCAGAAGAGACTTCTTAACTTCCCTAAATTTCTGAATGGTAGTGTACATACAGAGATATATATATATATATATATATATAATATTATAGCTGTGCATGCTCATTTCGCCTTACATTACATAGATTACATTTTCCTCACTTTTTAATCTTCACAAACACTAATAATTTTATAAGTAATCTTCAGCAAATCTTAAAATGAATATACATTTTTTTCATGTTCTACATTATTATGTTGTAATGCTGCAATTCACTTGTTGCTTTTGCACTTGTTGATTTTAGTTTTTGTTGTTTTATTTTTTATTTATTTAGACTAAATAGTATTGAATTTTAATATTGGTCATTTATCGGTTATTGGCCATACCATGAAATGGTAACACTTTACAATAAGGTTCCATTAGTTAATGTATTAACTAACAAGAACAAACAATGAACAATACAATTATTACAGTATTTATTAATCTTTGTTAATGTTAGTTAATGAAAATACAGTTGTTCACTGTTAGTACATGTTAATTCACAGTGCATTAGCTAATGTTAACAAGTACAACTTTTGATTTTAATATTGCATTAGTAAATGTTGGAATTAACATTAACTAAGATGAATAAATGCTGTAGAACTACTGTTCATTCTTAGTTAATGTTAACTAAAGTAGTTAACTAATGAACCTTATTGTAAAGTGTTACCCATGAAATTAATCATCAGATTACAGGCAAAATTTTAATACCGGTACGGGTTTAATACCCAATGCATTTTTTTCAAAATGATCATACTATTTTACACAAAAAAAAAAATCATTTTAAATATATAGAAAAGTTTTTGTATATAAATTCCCAAAAAATGGTGCTCATATATCAACTTAATGCTTGCTGGACGTTGTGTCTGAGACTAACCTGAGCCGAATGAAGTGTGCTGGGAGTCTTGGTGGTGTGCTCGGCCAGGGCATGATCAGAAAGTCTCTTAAGGTAGGCCTTCACTGCCTGCTCATCGGGATATGGGGAGGACTTCCCCCCTGTGGCTCTACAGCTGTCCGGCTCAGGAGTGCTGGTCTCTGAGGCTTCGACATAAGCCTCTCCATTTGTGGGCGGAGCTTCAGGCTCCGCTGAGTCTTCTATGGCTGGTTCTACAGGTTCTTGACTAGATGCAGGAACCTCATTTTGTGGTTCAGAGGCAGGTTTGCTCTCAGGAGGAGGTGTAGATTCAGGGTTAGTGATGGAAGTGGGTGATTTTGGGATCTGAGTTGGCATGGATGGAACAGGTTCTGTAGGAGAGCTCTTCCCTTGCTTACCCCTTGAGCTCTGATCTGGGCTGCCCTCAAATGCAGATGTGGTCTCATCGCTGTCCAGCTCAACACCTACTGGACAGTGATGGCCATCAGAGATAATAACGTGGTCCTCTTTGTCTGTCATAGTGTACAGCATCTGATGGCACTGACCGCACTTGTCTTGAGGGGGGTTCCGAGGCTCCTGCGGAGGGGGGAGACAGCGCACCAGAGCCAGGCTGTGAGCGGCTCCACAGGCCACCTGCAACACGTGCCTTCCAGCCAGGTGCTCTACCTTCTGGGGCTTCCAGACAGGAAACGTTGAAGTGTTCAGGCCCAGCTGACACCCGCTTCCCCAAGCCCATACTTCATGCTTGGCTGAAAGAGCCAGAGTGTGCTGATCCCCACAAGCCACCTTGAGGATCTTCACCGTCTGAGGGGGCGTGGCCTCAGAGTCCAGCACACCCACAGGGGTGGGATTAGGGATAACAGAGAGTCCTGATAGGCCACATTGGCCATGAGTGTTTTCTCCCCACATGTGCATGCCTCCATCTTCTGTCACGACTCCACTGTGGACGGAGCCAGCAGCCACAAAAACAATGCGTTGTTCGCTAAGAACCGCCTCCAAAACGGGCTCAGTCGCTACTGATGATGTTTGGTTCTGTTTCCATGGCAGCTCGCCAAAGCTGTAGACTTGTCCCCCTAAATATAGTATATAAATTATTACATTTCTGGATTGCAATATTAATGAAAAATGTATGAGAAGCAACAGTCAATAGTCTTTTCACAACCTTCACAATCTGTTTAAAGCAGTGGTTTTCCACTAGAGGGCCAGTGCCAGCTAGTGGAACTTAGTAAACTTCCAAGTGGGCCACGGGATGACTTAAAATTCTTTCAGTTAATTATATTAAAATAATATAACTTAACTAAAATGCTAACAAAACTAAAACACACAAAATCAAGATGTATATTGAAATCATATTTCTTTTTGTCCCCCTCTCAATAATGATTGCTTTTATTCAAGAATTTACAATTCTTTCACTTCTGGAATCACAAAAAGAATTCTACTTAATTAATTAAATATTTCTAAACTCCCAGTTTCTGTTAATAATACAGTTTAAAAACAAGCTGCTTTGTCATAATTGCAGCAGAAATACCTTAAGGTGCCAACACATTTACTGTTTTTTGGTCAATTTTTGCAGATGAAATACATTCATTTCAATGTATTTGTAACTGAAAGTGACTGCAACAATATCGTTCCTCCGTGTAATTATCATTATAGTCGTGTTGACTTTCCATATCTCACAGAATTAAAACAATTATTAAAACTTTAGTTATAGTTATTGTTATAGTTATCATTCTTGGTGGCCTTTAGCCTATATGGGGGCAGTCTTAAGAGTCATAAAGTTTGAAAATCACTGTGAACGTGAACATGAAGCATTTTCAGCAGTTTTCTTGTGAAACAAATATTCAACAACACAAAAGAAAAACTTTTTTTTAACATGTCGTGGAGGCTGCGAGTCACATTCACCCTTGCGAACACCTCAGTGTATCCAAATGTTAATGATCCCTTTTTAAAAAAAATGTTTTTCATTTTAGGAAAGTTTGCCTAAAAATAAAATGCAAGCCTACAGTATATGACTTAATTCTGTAGAACCCATACAAAGTCAATGGGGTCTAAAACAACACTGGACACCAATGAATTTCACTGCATGAGTAATCGATGAGTATTTATTCATGGGGGTGAACTATCGTGTTAAATTACTGTTACTATTCCATGGCTTGTCACGGCTGATTATGTCAGCTTGGCAAGGCGTTTCAAAGGCAGATCAAGTTATTACATTTTGATAAAAGATCACAAAGAAAAACATTTGTTCTTTGCAACCAATAACTTGTGCACAATAAGACCACGTAAATAGTCCATTTTGATGTTGACTTTAACCTGTTAACAAAGTGCTCATCAAAAATTTGTATCTTGCATCTAGAGGGTTGCCCAGCCAAATTTGCATGTGTATCCAGTGTGAATAATAAATGTATTACCCTCTACTAGCAGAACACCATGTCTAGCTCCCACGGCAGCCTGGAGAACCGGCCGGGAGAGCAGCACCCTCTCCGGTGTGGTGCTGTAGGAATATCCCCTCCACGTGTGGAGAAGTCCTCTCTCCCCAGAACCGTCCTCCTCACCACATCTAGAAACACAGTGATGAATACACTCTCAGAAAAGTCATGAGACAAAAAAAAACTAAGAAGCGTACAAACACTGCACTGTTCAACATTGCTGGCAGTTTGTCTTTGAACACACTCACCTCATCTGCTTCTCCATCTCTAAACGTTCCCCATATCACAGCTGTTGCGTTTGTCACTGTGGATGATTGTCCTGTAAGAACACAAGTGATGTATGATTTCAGATGTGGGATGACAACAGAGCGTTCGAGAATGACTTGTATGTTTAAGCTAATTTTCCTGAGACAATGTTTCATAAAACTAGTCACAAAGTGACTGAGCAAATTCTGAGCATTTCTGTACCTAGGCTACATTTATTTTTAATTGTAAAATAAGTAAATGAAATGTTTTTGAGTCCAGAATTTGTGCCAAGCAAAGACTAACAGTGTAAACACATATGTACACACACTGGTCAGGGCCAAAGGTGACGCAGAGCTGTGATGAAATCAGCTGAACTAGTAAACACACAACAACAGATCTAGAACAGTTACTGTTTAATACATTTTCAAAATGAATATTAACAACTTCTTTTCTGAGTTAGTTAAAACACAAGCTGTCAAGCAGGTTTAGATGGCCATAAATAAAAGTCATGCATTTAAGCAAAAGGAAAACAACAAATCTAGAATTACATCATCTACGTCGACAGGTGGAGATCACGTTAAATAACTCATGAATTTAAAATACCACTGTAAAGCCATAATACAGTCTCTAGAAGACATAAATATTTCTAATTTTCATTCTATTCGCTGCTTTAATATCACTCAAGCTAATAAATATGGTGTTTCGTTCATTCTTACCCCGATATGTCAGACTAAAGATCTCAGACAGAAGCGAACGACTCTTGGCTTAATATAGCTTGTCAGCTTTTAAAACACTTGATCAGAGAAGTAAAATAAGCCGGTGGAAAGAGCAGACCCAGCAGAGCGAAGCTCATGATGATTATGATGATGACAATCGGGTGTGTTGTTATAGTGTTGTTGTGAGCGCTTCAACGGACGGAGAAGCAGGAGGGACAAACAACGCAGGGTATTTACACTTTCGCTTTTTCTACTCGGTTCGGCAGAAGAGGAGAGATGAGTTGGTTGCTTGAAATGTGGAGCTGGTAAGCTAAATATATTAGCTTACTAGTCGATAGAAACTGTAAATTGGATTGCAGATGAATAATAATAATAAATGGACTAATACTGCTCCTGCAGTTGTCGATAGAGCAATTATTGTCTCGGTTTGACTATTTTTCTTAGCGAACGCAGTAAGCCAAATTACAAGTAAAATGATTCAAAATCAGCATTTCATTCTGTCAGGATTTATTCTGCGATCATGATAATTCCCTTAAATATCCCAATAGTTAATTAGGATATATATGTATAATATACAGTAGTACGAATTATTTTTAATGTTGATCAAATCACGCAGCCGAGATTTGCTTTATATGCGAATAAAGTGAAATATACTATAAATCCAACTTTAAATATATCACTGGGCGATAAGTTTACACTTTGCGACGATATAAACAATAAAGCAGTTGAGATTTGCTAGTATATTTGTATATTTGTTTTGCTGTGGTTAAAGTGTTCCATCAATCAGAAACCACTTATTTATTTATACTTTAATTAAGTAATTAATTCATTCATTCATTCATTGTTTTGTGTGTGTGTTTTTCGTTTTGTTTTGTTTTTTGGAGATGAGAGTGGAATTTCAAGCTAACATTTGTTTTCAAAATATTTTATCTCTACTTGCTCCTTCTCAGCTCTCTTTCTCACATACTCTGGGTGTTTTAGATACACCAGCCTTTCAAAACAAACCAGCAATCCCTTGCCTCTCTTTAAGATGAGAGTGGAATTTCAAGCTAACATTTGTTTTCAAAATATTTTATCTCTACTTGCTCCTTCTCAGCTCTCTTTCTCACGTACTCTGGGTGTTTTAGATGCACCAGCCTTTCAAAACAAACCAGCAATCCCTTGCCTCTCTTTATTTTTCAGCCAATTGGATGGTGGTTTGCAGAAGAATTCTGATTGGCCTGTGACCACACAGTGGCAGTGGCAGCTGCAGGAGGCAGGAGAGCAACAGAAAGAGAGAGAGAGTGGTACAGAGAGACAGGAGGAGAGCTCCGAGTAATCGTAGGAGGACAGAGAAGGGAACTTGTGTCAGCGTGGGTGCTGAAGCAGGAGAATGACATGCTGGATAAAGGGGCAGCGATGATGTCCAGTACCATATTCAAAATGTCCAGGTCACAGTGAGAGCCTCCTGTCGTAACAACAGTAGTTCCATCAAGATCCATCAGAAGAAGCAGACAGCATGCAGAACCTCCGGCATGCAGCTTCTGAGGCTTTCCAGCGTCTCGGTAAGTACATTTCAGCTGTATCTAAGAATATACAATCAGTATGAAAATCTGTCCTTAATATAACGTGTGTTAATGTCTCATCACGTGGGAAGTAGGAATAGTACATAATTAAAGAGATAAAACAACAATCTTCTTCATCCCCAGCATCTCTCAAACTGTAAATAACTTGATTCATTCATGTACTCTGAGCTGCATAGAATGGCTACATTTGCATTCTCGTTTGTGCCTCACATAATTATTAAATAATATTATTTGTATTTGTGCTAATTTGCGTTTCTTGTATCAGCTATATGTAATTGAACATACCTGTTGCTTATAGTAAATTTAATGTGAGAAGCCCCTATAGCTTATAAACCTAATAAACCAACCTGTCTCAAATTTGTTGATTTGATTGTCCCTGAAACAGCTCCTGACATCGATTTAAATTTCTGAAGAGACCATACCAAGTTTAAACCCATCTAAGGTGGTCTGAGCTGGTTTATCTGGTCTCCCAGTTATCATTAACTAAAACTATTAAAAACATTTTTGGTAATTGAATTAAAGCTGAAATAAAATACAATATAAATATATGAAATATATATATAAAAAAACTAGGTAACTAACTAAATACAAAAAAATAACTAAAACTTAACCTTAAATAAATAGTAATAGTAATAAAAAAAAAACTATGAATAAAAATAAAATATGAAAATAAAAGCTAATTCAAATGATTAAAAAAAACTGTAAATAATATTAAAATAACACTGGTAGAAGAACCGAAACAGACCATCTTATCTTCCTAAGGCTGCATTAAGATGTTTTTTCAACATGGTATGTAACTAAACCATAGCAGAGGAAGCCAACTCATTGTTGTGGCTAAGCACATGTCATTGTTGATGTGCATTGGAAGACAAATAGCCCGTGTATCCTTGTAGCAGAATATAGAGGATTCTGCTTGACCTGTGGATACAAAACACAGCAAAGATTTGATCCCTGGTTTACTGCATGGCAGAAGTGAGATTCTGTTGTGATGGAGGAGGGAAGGGCAGGTTCCTGTAGGTGAGAGGAAAACAGCCTGTAACAGCATCTGTGTCCATCTCTTGAGAGGCAGGAGGCCTGAGAGCGAAGAAAACTGTGTGTGTTATGTGTGAAAAAAGCAGGCATTAGTGAAAGTCATCAGCTTTAAGTATATCGCACTAGCTGTAAATCTGTCACTGGCTATTTCTGGACATCTGTTTAAGCACGTTTCCTCACCATCTACGAAAGTATCCTAGTACTGTCTTGTGAGGAGTCAGCAAGACTGCGTTTTTCTCAGAACTGAATGCACAAAAATTATTATATATATAGTTATCAGCTGATATTGGATATTTAATTGTTCATGCTAATTTATTACATTTTTTTACATTTAGATTATTTTTGGCATCATCTAACTCTAAAAACACTTTTTCTTCCAGTTTATCTGCATGTCTTGGGCTCACCAACCTGAAATCAGTTTTCTTGTGATTATTTTGTGGACCAGTTTCTTGTCTGGGTGTTTTTTTTTGTATTTTTTTTTTTTTATCTGAACTCATATTCGCTTTTTGGGTTAAAGACCCCATAAAATGGCTTCATAAATTCCTGTGTTGACGTATTTCCTGTTGAAACAGGAAGTTGGGGTGGGTTATATCAAAAGGTTTGTCACTTTTTTAATATTTAATATTTTACATTTATGATTTGCTTTTTGCTTTGGCTAATCAGAGGCAGGACGATCATTCTCAAATTTCAATCTAGAGAACATATTATTGGACATAAATTTGAATATATTTGTATATTCCTCTGCAAAAAAAGTTCATTATTTTGGTCTGTTTTCCCAGAAGAGATAGCTTATGTATTTTAATCCACATTTCTGAATATCCAGGAACACACTAGCTTATGGATGGTCTCAAAGCTGACAGAGGGTCTTTACTAGGGTCTTTAACTTGACTTGTTTACCTGACATGATTTATCTGAGTTTCTTGGCCTTCATCTAACCAATCACTGCACTTGTCTGATATGTGAGTGATGGGTGGCTGGCAACATACTAAACAGCACTTACTGCTGTACACACTGCTCACAGAATACTGATCAGCAACGAGAGAGAGTGAAGGAGGGAAAACATGGAGAGTTGGCAACAGAATGCAGAACAGTAAGGAAAGGATGTCAAGTGGTGATGAAGGAGAGAACAAACTTGATGGAATAAGGAAAGATACTCGTGCAGAGACAGAAAGAGTGGAGTGTAGAGATGGATGAGAGGATGAAAACAGAGAGCGGGAAGGCGTGATGCATCTGAGCATGAGTTATGAGCTTTCTTAGCCCTCCCTTACCCTGACTCATAAATATCTGTGCAGACAGACAGAGAGAATGGAAAAAATGCTCCGGGGGGAAGCAGAAACACACAGAGACAGCAGAGATCATTGGTCGACACACAAGGGTGAACAAAAATATACTCTCTCCACTGAGTAACCTCTGTGATTGACATTTTATAATATACAGCATACTTTTCAATGACATTTGTGCCTGAGTTGGCATTTCATTTTCACCCCAAAATTAAAATTTGCTGAAAAGTTACTCACCATCTCACAATATATAATATTATGTAAAAAAACAGTCCAAAGTGGTTCAATATGTTGGTGGATTTTGAACTGAGAGGAGAACAGGGGGTGGACTTTTTCACTGGAGGAAGCGTTATTATGGATTATGAACTCCTACTTTAGCCAGAAGCAGTGGTTTAAAGTTTAAATGCCCTAATGATGGATTTGTTTCTCACAAACACGCATCTTTTCACTTCACAAGATGTTAATTGATGGACTGGAATCATGTGGATTATTGTGATGATCAGCTGTTTGGACTCTCATACTGACGGCACCCATTCACTGCAGAGGATCCACTGGTGAACAAGTGATGTAATGCTACATTTCTCTTTTCTGATGAAGTAAACAAACTCATCTACGTTTTGGATGGCTTGAGGGTTAGTACATTTTCAGCAATTGTCTTTTTTGGGTGAACTATTCCTTTAAATATTAGAAATAATATTTCATGCTTCCCTTGGCATGTATTTCTAATAAATACATTTTTGAATAGATGCTTGATGTGAAATGGACTCCCTACAACCTCCTAGAATGAGTTTCATGGCAGCTTTTGGTTAATGGAGACTGGTCATTGCGGGATGATGACCTTTCTTCCCTGTCAAGGACGACACTAATCTCCTCAGAGTGACACCTGCAGCCGTGCCAAAAAGAGATTTTAGAAAATTAGATCTGGAACGATCCAACAGAGACATACAGTCTTCTGGGTCAACTTACAGGGCTTTGTAATTCAGTCATCTAATGGTATGTAGTAATATCAACATTAATGCAGTCAACTATAAAGGGAGCCTTTAATGAAATCCTTCCTATATCACAATCATAATAACTACTTTGGTATTAGTCTCTTAGAAAACCGCAGCAGTGGGATTTCTAGTGTTAAAGAAAAAATCTTTTTAAAAACTTTCTTCTTAACAGAGAAGTTCTCTATAGTATTTGACATGGTAAAAGGTACTGGACAGTTTTAGGGCAGAGCTGTCTTCCTGGAGTCCCATTGAACCTTAAAACGTACGAAGATGGGCTTATTTTTATATCCCCTGTATCTTTTGCCTAAACAGAGTTCATTGACTGTCAGAACATATCTAATCACGCATTACATAGCAGATGCACTCTGCCTCTTAGAGACACTTTTCAAATATACATCACCGAAATGAACATTTTAAAAGCTGCGTGCTGTTTTACAGAGCACCCATCAGCTGAATTGTGATCATGGGGTCTTTCTCTTTCTCTCTTTGTTTGTTCCTAACTCTCTGAACCCGTTTAGTGTAGAATTTGCTGCTGAAATTTAAATGAAGGTGAAGGGTAAATCTCAGACCCCCTGTACACGACCACCTGCTCCTGTTCGCCTCTCCCGTCAGGAGCTTAAACACGAAGCGTGACTCACCTTGTACCTGCTTTATCAAACCACACACACACACACACAGTTACATACTGAGAATTCTGAAGTATTATATGTTCTTCCTCCTTGGTCTATAAAATGAAAGCTTTTTCATTTATTAAATGTATTAAAGGGGTCATATGATGCGATTTCAATTTTTCCTTTCTCTTTGGAGTGTTACAAGCTCTTGGTGCATAAAGAAGATCTGTAAAGTTGCAAAGACTAAAGTCTCAAATCCAAAGAGATATTCTTTATAAAAGTTAAGAGTCAACCACGCCTACCTAAAACGGCTCGTTCTAACACACCCCCACATACCTACGTCACGATCTCGGAAGATTTGCATAACGCCGCCCAAACGTTCACGCAAAGAAAGAAGCCGTAACTTTTATTCTCGCTGTAGTATTGTTGTTGCAGCC